TTTCTTTGGCCCAGCTTAAAAAACCATCAGTGTAACCTGGAAATCTTAGAACTGGAGAGATCTTAGAGGTTATCAAGTCTAAACTCCCATTTTAGAAATAACAAAACTGAGGCACAGTGAGATTAACTCCCCCCCACACACACACACAAACATGCATACAGTCACATGATACATTTGAGAACAAGAAACCTGACCACAGGAGAGTCCTTTCTTTTCCTGTCTGACTCTGTGCCCACATTCCCAGTCCATCCACTTTAATGCATGCCTTCATTTGCAGTGTATTTGCAAAAAACAGGACACCAGTATGGTGGCTTCTTTTTTTTTTTTTTTTTAGAGAGAGATTTTTGCTATAGGGCACATGCACTCACCAGAGAGACAGACAGACAGAAAGTGAGAAATCAACCCCCAGAGGGTATGAACACACCACAATCCCTTCTCCTCCATTCTCCTCTTAGGATTTTGGGTATATACATACATGTGCCCAGTGTGAGTTTTAAGCTGTTGAGTCTAGGACTCAAACCATGGTTGGCTACGTGCAAGTCCAGCAATGTAACCATTATGCCATCTGCTGGTCCCCCACCCACCCAATGTGACCTTTTAAAAATATATGTTTTGGGGGCCAGCAAGTGGCATTGTGGTTAAAATAGCTGGATTCTCATGTGGTTGACCATGATTTGAGTCCCAGACCTGGTGGCTTGAAAATCGTGCCAGGCATGTGTGCGTATGTGCCCCAAATCCTGAGAGGTGGATAAAGAATAAGGAATTGAAGTGTGGCCATCCTCCCTGGGGAGTGATTTCTCACTTTCCCTCTCTCTGTATATATTATATAAATTATAATATATATTATATTATAAATTATATATATATATAATTTTTTTCTTTATTCATGATAGAATAATGAAAACACATGCATGGGAGAGAGAAAAAGTAATTGAGAAAGTTGAACATCCTCCAAAGGGTCTCGTCATACTGAGATCCCCTTCCTCCAGTCCTCTAGCCCACTGGATTTGGGGCACTTCCACATGTGCCATGTGTTTCAAGTTCACTGGGCCTGCAATTCAAGCCCCAGCCATCACATGGGATCTGACCTTTCTTGAGCAGCACATTACCCCTGCATGGAGGAGCCAGCTCACTGATCTGGTCCCATTCCAGTGGTTAGACCCAAAACTACCATCCCAGCATTTCCTGCTGCCTGTACTCTTCTTGAAGAGACACCAGCAGCCCCGGAATAGAATGGAGCCAATTGAAATTTGATTGAAAATATGTTCTCCCCTATGGACCTCAGTTAAAGCTTTCCAAAGAGTGGACCCATGAAGCCTTCCAGATTGATGCCAAAGACCCTTGGTTTTCTCTGTGACTTCAGTTGCCATGTCAGCCCTGGAAGTAAGAAGAAGCTGAACAGATAAGAAGACTAATTTCAGAGTGACTTTCAGGTCAGGGATGCCTGGGTTCGACTCTTAGCTTTATCATTAATAAACCAGATGACCTTGGGCAAATTCCTTTCTCTCTTCAAAGCCTCATATTTAGGCATAAATGGGAAGTAAATCCACTCTAGAGGTGGTTTACGGACTCAGTGCAGTACTCTTGTGCAGTGCCTGGCATGTGGTGAAACACAAGGAACTACAGCTGCCCTTGTTGCTGTACTATTAGCGGCAGGACAGACAGGAGACCTGTTACAGAATTCTTACATACAAAGGAAGTGAGGAAAGTCAAACGAAAACAAGTGCATACAAACCTCTATACATGTATAGAAAGTACTTCTCTGCTTAAATACAGAAGGCTGAGTATTATTTACTTTAAAAAAATCCTTTAGGATTTTATAAGGGCCTCTCATTGCCTAAATGAATAGAGAGTGTGCAGTGATGGGTGAATGTGCAGTCCAGTCCACTATAGCAGAACACAGAGGAGTGCCATGGGTTGACTGTGTCCCCTCACCCCCCTGCCAAATCCCTATCTTGAAGTCCCAACTCCAGCACTTCAAAAATGCAATTTTATTAAAAGACAGGATCTCTTTCCAGAGGTAATCAAGCTAGTGATTTCATTAGAGTAGACCCTAATCCAATTTGACTGGTGTCCTTATATTGGGTTGTATGAAAAGTCATGATGCAGTTTTGCATAGAAAAAAAATACATCATGACTTTTCTGACAACCCGGTAGAAAAGGGACTCTGGATGCAGAGGTGGGTATGGAGGAAAGATGATAAGAGATTCAGGGAGAAGACAGCCATTTACAAGCCAAAGAGAGAGGCCTGGGACAGGTCTTCAACTCCTCGTCCCCAGGTGGGACCAAGCCTGCCAATGCCTTGATTTGGGATTTTGAGTTATCTCATTAATTTAGGTTTCCCCATTTAGACTATCTCTATAAGATCCAGGGCATGGCTGCCTAATTTTGACTCTATCAAAGTATGTAGGGCAATGCTAGGAAGCCAGGAAGTACTCAATAAATATTGATTAAATGACCGTATGAGAGGTGTATGCCCAAGAGAAATGAAAAGGAAACAACTATACCAGCACGTATGCCAACCCACACAGAATCACACATGCCGCCAGAATTGCAAGAGAAAAAAAAAAAAAAAGAGAGAGAGACTGCTATTTAAGCCACCCATTCTGTGGAACTTGGCTACAACAGCCCTGGGAAACTCATAGAAGGAGTAATTCATATGGAGATGGCCACAGGTGTGTTTTAGATCAAGTGAGTTTGACGCATTGTTTTGGGAACAGTCAGGTAGAGAGAAATGCTGAAATGTAGTTATATATGTGAGCACAGCAGGCTTGAAACTACTGTGCCAATCACCTCGGACACTCTGGCATCCACAGTGCAGGGTGACTAATATGTAGTGGGAATCTGAAAAGAAGCGTAATGAATAAATGTCACATTTGCCTAAGGACAGTGGGCAGAAGGAACTACCAGGATATTGGAACTGATTCTAATTTCCCATCTCAGTACTAACGAGATGAGCTCAAGCCCCCATCCTTATGGGGCTGTAACCATGGCATTTCTGAGGTCAGTGAATTTCAGATTGCTGCATTGGTTGCTGATATTTACACTCCCTAGGAAAGGTAGTCCCCTCTTTGTTCTAAAAAATCGGGGGTAGAGGGGAGGGAGTTAAATATCAAAGCTATTCTTAGAACATAGTTTCATGCCCATGTTCTGCAGTTCTGACCTCCAAGCAAGCATGTTGATGACATGTCTATTTTAGGGGGCAACTTCCAAGTCTGCTTAGTTTAAAATGTCAAAATGAGCAGGCAGCATGGCATAATAGAAGATGATAAAAATTAGGGCCAGCTCCGTGGCACAGGGGTAATGCACTGCCTTTAAGAAGCTGGATCCCACATGGCAGCCACAGTTTGGGCTCCTGGCCCAGTAGGCCTGGGACATACTGGGCACATAGGAGGGAGTACCCAGGAGTTGACAACTGGAGAGTAGGTGGAAGGGATTCAGTATGTGAGCAAAATCTCACATGCATGCACATGTCCTCTATCATAAATAAATTTTAAAAAGAAAACAACAATGCTATAACTAAAGTCAGGAGACCTTACTTTAAGCCAAGTCTGCCTGTGACCTGGGTGGCCATCAGCTTTCTGGGTCTTCTTTCCCTCATTTGGAAAACTATGAGTGGGAAGGATGATTTGATGATCTTCCAGCTCTGACATTCTGTGATTCTCTCAATGTTGCCTTTAATTGCAACTGGTGATAAGATAACATTTCCATCAATTGACCTGCCAACCTAATTTAGCCCATCAACATGAAGACATGAAAATAAGATGATAGGCAGAAATTAATATTGCAGATGACTTGGGCAAAATTAATTTCCCTTCACATGGCAGATGGAATACTGAGAAGAAGCAGTGCTTGGTTTGAAAATATATCTTAATTACCAGCAAACTGGGCTTTACTGAAAGGTTTCTGAATGTGTATGACCACAGAATTTTGTCCAACTTTAACCATATTGGAAAAGAATATGGAAAACCACCCATTCCTAGTGGCATTTGTGATTTCTCTTGGACCATTTAATACTTAAAACTCACGCTGGCATTGTCTTTCCGTGACTAAACATCTCAGCCATGGATATAATTGGCCCCTAAGGGAGAAAGATAATTAAGATTTACTGAGTATTTAGTAAGTGTCACATTTTGTGCCAGGTCTTCGGCCTGTATTATATAATACCTTATTTAACACCTCCCTGTAGCAGATACTGTTGGTCACACCATAAGTTCTCTGCACCCAACTCAGCATGGTAAAGATGATGGACTGTGAGGCCCTAAAAGTGGTTTGGGCAATAGGACTAGCCAGATGCACATGAAAGTTACTGCAGCAGAAGCAACCCTCAACCAGAAGCAGATGGAAAAGAGTTAGGTAAATGCTCCAGCATCCTCACCCATTGGTTAGGATAAACAAGATGAATTCTTGTTCACAGAGTTCCCTAGAAGAGCTGGGTTCTGGCTCTCCAAGGTAGATACAGTCTTGAAATGCATCCTTTATTGGCTGTCTTCTTTTTCTGTCTTAATACCTCATTATTTCATGAGATTGTTTTCCAGATGAAGTATTTATATTCAAGTCCTTATCTTTGTCTGCATCTGAGGGTTCCAAACTGAGACATACCTAAGGTTCCTGTAGAATAGGTGGCATCATTGCTGATTTATAGCTTGATCTGATTAAATAATAGTTAAATTTTGATAGAGGCGTTTGCCTGACTCCTATTGACTTTCCTGTCCATCAGTGTCCTCCCAGGGAAATTTTGCTACATTTAGACATGATTTTGGTTGTCACTACCAAAATGGGAGGGAGGCAGGGACAGGCACTGGCATGTAGTGGGGCAGAGTTTGGGGATGCTACTGAACATCTCCTAGTGCATAGTGCAGCCCCCTGCAACAAAGACTAAAGCAACCTTAAAAAAACTCATTAATGCCAAAGTTGAGAAATCCTGCTCTATACCCAGCAAGACTGGCTGCTAGATGCTGGCTCTCATGTGTGACCTGCCTGTTGTGTTTTCCTTCCAGGGCCAAGCTGTGGCTCAGCTGTGTTCCACCATTCCCAATGTGACTGTCTTTGGAACAGCTTCTACTTTCAAGCATGAAGCAATCAAAGACTCTGTGACCCACCTCTTTGACAGGAACGCAGACTATGTGCAAGAAGTGAAAAGGTAAGGGGTGTGTTCTAAGGAGCACGTGTTGGCCCTTGCTCTTTTCTCAAAGCACGGTAGCTTTCATTTCAGGGGGGGTCTAATAATAGCAAACATAAATCAGAGGCTTAGAATTACTAGCTCTGTGCCAAACACTTCCCATGCACTAGCTCATTTAATCCTCTTAACCACTCCATTATCATCCTTAAGGAACAAAGAGGTTCAGTCACTGGCAAAGCTAGTGTAGTCCAGTCATTGCTAGGTGTGATTAGGCCGTCTTAGCATGTAGAAGTTTGCTTCTCATTTATTCACATAACCACCTGAGGTGGATGCTTGATGGATGATCTCTAAAGAAGTTCTGAGACTCAGGCTTTTTTCAACTTGAGTTTCCACCATTGCCCTGGGTCTCATGGTCCTCTGTTTCTGGCTAATACATAAGGAAAGAGCACCAGACGGTCAGCAACATTTGAAGGGGCCAATCCCACAGGGAGCTAGGACTGCTCACACTCAATTGCTTGTGCTCAGGCCCCTGGTCACACCTAACTGAAAGAAAACAAACTGAACTGGAAAATGTCTTGCTGTGCACCCACGCAGGCCAGGCATGCATAGTAAATGGTGGAGCCTGAATCAAACCCAGGAGTTCTGACTTTGGAACATTGGCTCTCTAAAGAGTGAAGCGTGAGCAGAGGTTATCAGCAGCAAGAAGACAGTTGGAAGTAGAGGTACTCTGGAGAAGAAATCTCATGTACACACATGAAGAATGAAAGTGCCATGGGGCTAGCAGAACTGCAGGAAAGCTTAACAGGGTGTGAGTCCAGGGATGACTGGTTTCTGATCTAATTATAGATGTTGGTAAAAGGGTAACTGGGGAAATGGAAGGAGGGGCATGAAGCATCAAATGGACATAATCACCTCATCCACCATGCCAGGAAACATGGGCCCCCAACCTGGAAGCGACCGGGAGCCACCTAGGATTAAAGTGGTGACGTGGTCAGACTTGGGTTTTATTTTTATTTTTTGGAGAGTTTACTATAGGGCACATGCACTTGCCAGACAGACAGAGAGACAGAAAGTGAGAAATCACCCCCCCAGGGGGGATGACCACGCCGCAATCCCTTTTCCTCCATTCTCATCTCGGGATCTTGGGCACGCATGCACACGCACCCGGCATGAGTTTAAGCCACCGGTTCCGGGACTCGAACTGCGGTCGACCACATGGGAGTCCAGCGAAACAGCCATTACGCTAACTGCTGGTCCCCCAGACTTGGGTTTTAAACAGTCAGTGGAGGTGTTCAGAGAATGACTGAGAGGCTGGAGGTCAGGAGATCAGTTTGCAGTTATTACGGTCACCTGGGGGATGCTGGTTTAGAACCTGATCTCTATCCCACCTGAGGTCCTGAAGCTATTGACTATGGTCATGTCATGCTCATGTCAATGCGGGGACTCAGAAGGAAAACCCAGCTGCCACTCTAGTCTCACGTGACTTGTGTGTCTCGCCCTGGCTTTTGCTCTGACCTTCAGGTTCATTCTCAGGGTCTGCTTCCTCCCAGCTCCTGAGTGAATGCAGAGATGGCCCAAAGCTATTGTTTCAGTATCTTCATTTCACAGCAGGAAATTGTGAAGTACAAAGCTATTGAGCTGCCCACTTAGCATCATCATATAGAAGCAGTTTTCTCCAAATTACCAGTTTAAAAGGAAAAGTAACCGGGGAACCAGCAGTTAGCGTAATGGCTATGTCGCTGGACTCCCACGTAGTCGACCGCGGTTCGCGTCTGGGACCCGGTGGCTTAAATCTCACGCTGGGCGCGTGTGCGTGCGTGCCCAAGATCCCGAGAGGAGAATGGAGGAGAAGGGATTGCGGCGTGACCATCCCCCCTGGGGGGTGATTTCTCGCTTTCTGTCTCTATGTCTCTCTCTGTCTGTCTGGCGAGCGCACGCGCACTATAGTGAAAACCTCTCAAAAAAAAAAAAAAGGAAAAGTAAACGATTAGAAGCTAGGAGAGCTGACTGTTTGAAGTGATAGATTTAGACCAGGTTTGGAGAAACTTGGCAAGTTTCATGGAAAGGAGAGTCTTTCGATGGTCTGAACTCTCAGATTTGTCTTAAAATTTTGAATGTAGAGATCCGCATATAACTTAAGGTTGTCTCAATATCTCCAGGAGGGTATAAAAGGAAAACTTGAAAGCTGGATGTTAGAAGGTCACCCTCTGTTTCTTAGCTAGCTGGAGATTTCCTGCTGGTCTGAAAGACTTTCACTAGCTCAATTCCATAGCTCGCGGGCAGCTGTGGTCTGGAAAATGACCTACCATTGTTTCTCAGTAATCCTTTCTCTCACCCCCTTCAGTGATATTTTTTAAGCACTTTTTTTTTTTCCCCGTTTTTGCCATAGGATGTGTATTCTTCCTGGAGAGGAGAGAGACAGTGAGAGGGAGAGTGAGAAATCACCCCCCAGGGGGGATGGCCATGCCACAAATCCTTCTTCTCTTCTATTCTCCTCCTGGGATTTTGGGCATGCATGCCCAGCATGATTTTCAAGCCAACAGAACTCAAACCACAGTTGGCCATGTAAGAGTCCAACACTTTAACCACTACACCACACCCCTGCAAGAACCCTTTTATTTATCTGTGTCCAACCCCACTAGTAAGCATATTTTGAATGTCTGTAATGGGTCTATGGTAGGGCGGGAGATGCAGCGATCACCACCTGGAGAGTCATTGTCTTCAGGGAGCTTAAAGTCTAGCTGGAGAAGAGGAGACAAAAATAACACAGTTAACTGATCTAAGCTCTCTTTTTTTGGGGGGAGGGGGAGAGATTTTCACTATAGGGCACATGCACTCGCCAGACAGACAGAGAGAGACATAGAGACAGAAAGCGAGAAATCACCCCCCCAGGGGGGATGGTCACGCCACAATCCCCTCTCCTCCATTCTCCTCTCGGGATCACGGGCATGTGTGAACATGCACCCAGCGTGAGTTCTAAGCCACCGGGTCCGGGACGCGAACCACGGTCAACAACGTGAGAGTCCAGCGACATAGCCTTTACGCTAACTGCTGGTTCCCTAAGCTCTTTTTTTCTTTTAAGCTTATTTATATATTTTGAGAGAAGGAGAGGCAGGAACCCCTAGTCTCAGCTAGTCCAGCTCAAAGGTGTGCATTCACTCAGGATGTTCAGGGATGTCCCAGGACACACACTCAGGACCCTTCCCATGTAGGCTCAGTTCCTGTTGCACCATCACCGGCTCCTGATTACCCCTTAGATATGTGCTCTGATGGAGAAACAGGAGGAGCTAGTGACCTTATACAGATAGAGAAAGCAGACCTGTTGTCAACTAATGAGTAAGATTTTGGCTGAGAGTTGAAGGACGAGAAGCTGCCAGTGGAAGGACATTTCCAACTAAAGGGAATGACATGTGCTGAGAGCTGAAGGAAGAAAAAGCTCAATAAATGTAAGAATCTGAAAGGAGGCCAGTGAAGCTAGAGAGGTTAGGATGTGGGGAGTGGTAGGAGAAGAGGGTCAAAGGGTGGCAGCTCTTCTGGAAAAGTGGCAGTCATCATCAGGCAAGACCTGCCCTCCCCACTTCCCATGCCCTGTCTCTGCTCTGCAACATTACCCCCGCATCAGTGATTTCCATGGATGTCAAAGAGCAAAAGGCAGCAGCATCTGAAACCCACCTCACCACCACCTTCCTTCAAGTGTGATTTCCAGCAGTTTATTACATTTTCAAGTAGAGACCCTAGAATTAGTCTAAAAATGTCTTGGAAGCTGCAAATATGTTTATACCCTCTGTCCCAGTAAACCTGCCCTCAGGAGGTCATTAAGAAGAAGATAAACGCTATAGGTATGAAGCTGCCTGTTAGGGAGCCAAGCACTGCTCTACTTCATTGTAAGCTCTGCACATGCCGACAGGGTGAATTATAGCATTGTCTGTAACAGTCAGGATTCAGAATCAGCCTCCACTATCAACAGAAGGGAAACATTTAGTAGATTATGCTACACCCACATGCTTGAGCATTATGCAGTCCCTGAAAAAATGATAATTATGGAGACTCTGTCATAAAATGAAAAAAAAATGTTCATGGTAGCATATTGAGTGAAAAAAGCAGACTGCCAAATTCCCTCTACACTGTGATCACAGTTTCCTACAAATTCTCGATGCATATGGACGTGCAATGAAAAGAACGGGGACATATCCAACTGCTAGCAGGTGCAAGAGGAGAATACAGAGTGATTTTATTTTTTGATCACAGATATTGTTACTCTGTTACGTGTACAATGAACTAGAAAAAAATAATAAAGCTTGAGACAAAAACTCTTTTATAAACCAATCAGTAAGCCTCTTTTGAATGCATTCTCAGCCTTGAGCCAGGCATTGAAAAGGGAATAGAGAAAAATTAGTTACGGTACAGGGTTAACTTCACATTTGTTACCTTTTCTGCTTGGAAGGAGCAGTGGCTATCAATGAAACCAAGCGAAAGGGCTGGAAACCTTGAGTCTTGTGCACCTGCCTATAGGGATTTAGAAATAAAGAAGACAGAAAAATGAGGGAACCACTCCAGGTGGACAGCCCTCAGGGGGCCCTTGAAGAATGAGGGTGATTTTCGTAGGTTAAAGGAAGTGGGAGAGAAACCCAGGCAAAGGGAGCTGGGACAGAGAAAGGTGGGTAAATAGGAGCAGCCACACTGTGTTGGGCTCCTCAACCCTGCTAAGAGTTCCACTAGTCCACCTCGGACAATCCTGCAGGGCCTAAACGCTTCATGGTACAGACTGGGAAACAGGGACTTCACCAGGTTTGGCTTCACAGATATGTGATTTTATGAACTTTTTTTTTTTTTCAAAAAGGGCTTTGCTATAGGCGCGTGGTGCTTGCCAGAAAGACAGAGGCAGACAGAGAGACAGAAAGCTAGAACTCACCCTCCAGGGAGGATGGCCACGCTGCGATCCCCTCTGCTCTCGGGATCTTGGGCACACATGCACACTCGCCCAGTGTGAGTTTAAGCCACCAAGTCTGGGACTCCAACTG